CAACCAGACAGTTAGTTAAAAAACAATATGTGAAAGCACAACGACAGCGCAGCGGCAGCAAAGCAACAGCAATTCGACTATTACTTGACCGTGAAACATCAAATTGGCAGAAATATGTATGCATGCACAAATGCACTACCCTTTAGTTGTACTAGTGACAAGAGGCGACCATAAGCTAACTACGGCGATGCATTACCGATTGTTAGGCAATTCGCTAGCGATTGGTAATCGCCAATTTCACACCAGATAATCGCTAGCGAAAGCTCAAGGCAAAGGAATTGATACTGCAAATTTTGTGTGTACTCACTCCTGGCGAGTCAGCGATAATACACCATGCTGCAAAGCTTCATATGCACAGGACATTCAAGCAAATCACAGCACAAGAAAAGTGCTATCACAGCAAATCAAAAGCCGTAAATTCAATTAACTAAATTGTTTTCAATAAACTGCCGACAAAAAAGCAAAATAAAATTTTCAAAGTCACAGCGAAAGCAAATCAGTTTGAATGAAAATCAAAAATTTCAAAGCGAAGCAAAAGCAAAAATAGTAGTGCTGTGCTGACAGTTTTTCAAACCCTGAAAATAACTTTTATTTTCAGTCTCTGCATTTTTGTAAATTTCGTTTAAAGCAAATTGATAAGATAAAGTAAATTTTTAAGTCTGTACTTCATTATTTATTTTATTTATTTATTTATGACAGCTATCTGTCAAAAGAGAAAGGTTAAAGAAAGCCTACTGCCATACCTACACAAAAGCGTTGGGCTGAGCGTTTTCTGGCGCCTAGCGTTAACGCCGAAGTGCAATACCTAAACAAAAGCGGCGAAGCTNTTCTGACGCCTAGCGTTAACGCCGAAGTGCAATACCTAAACAAAAGCGGCGAAGCCACGTCAAATGAAGAAATAACACCAAAAATAGGCATAGGTTTGTTTGTGTGAACTACGAAAATGACAGTTTCGCTGTTTTCTGCAGCCAACTTCACTTCCTAACGCCCTGTCACAATCGGATTTTCTAACCGCTAAGCGTTGACGCCGCGTTGTTTCGGTATACTTCATACAAATTGTATAGGCATGAGAATTTTTTGACAGCCAGACAATGCGGACGCTTTTGTCTAGGGATGGCTGTTATATTATTTGAAACGTTGCCATCTGTTTGAAAATTTTAATTTAATTTATTTATTAAATACTAGGGNTTGTTTGTGTGAACTACGAAAATGACAGTTTCGCTGTTTTCTGCAGCCAATTTTTTTCAAATTAGATAAGNTTCCTAACGCCCTGTCACAATCGGATTTTCTAACCGCTAAGCGTTGACGCCGCGTTGTTTCGGTATACTTCATACAAATTGTATAGGCATGAGAATTTTTTGACAGCCAGACAATGCGGACGCTTTTGTCTAGGGATGGCTGTTATATTATTTGAAACGTTGCCATCTGTTTGAAAATTTTAATTTAATTTATTTATTAAATACTAGGGTATTTGCCCGGCGTGCTTCGCTGCGCCTTAAAAGTATTTTTGTTTTGTTACTCCCTCTCACAACATTTAGTTGATATTAGTTAATACTACAGTAAATATTTATATAGTAAAGAATTTTTTTTCAAATTAGATAAGTAAACGGTAATTAAATATTTAATTAACACACGTTTGAGGAAAGGGTGCGATAGTAGACTCCAGTTATAAGATTAATAATTAAATTTCCAAGAGAAAGTCGGTACTTTACTTATTTTCGAATTATCTTCGAAAAGACATTAACTAACACCCACACTCAAAAAAGAAACAAGGCTTCATAGATCTAATTTTTTTTTAATCTTACTTCGTAAAGCTCCTTAAATATATGTTATAAATAAGGCCATACGAGTTTTGGGAGAGAGTTGCAACACAAAAATACATACATTTAAGGCGCTGCGAAGCACGCCGGGTAATTGCTAGTTCGTTATATATTGTGGAAGCAAATGCGGCAAAAAAATATTTTAAGTTATTTTAAAAGAGCACTTAAAGGGCGAAAATTATAAGTAAAATTGTAAATGGGATACGAAAAATTTAGGTACTTAGGCGGGTTGGGTAGATAAGCGGGGAGGTACTTAAGAATGGGATTTTCTTCAGATTACATTAAAAAATTCACGGTACCCAAAAATGTTGGTAACTTAAGCGGGTTAGGTACATAAGCGGGGGGTACTTAAACGGGTTTCACTGAAATTATGAGTGGCTTGAGTATTTATTTTGTGCTTACAGTAATAAATGGTATATAACGATAAGGTAAATTTAAGAAAGTATTATATAATACGTAGTACCCAGGCCTGGTTTCAAGGAGGGTTTTAAAGGTTTTAACCCCCTCTGTTGGAGGGAAATATGCATACAAATGTGCCATCATTTAGTTTAAGATAATAGTGGTAAAAAATATTTTAAGATCTCAACAATTTGTGTACCATAATAACCAATGTCAATGAAACTTCTTTTTGAAACCTATAATAAACGTTCAAAAATTTGATTCAACTTCTTCCTACTTTTTTCTAAAATTGAGTAAAACAAATAGTATATAACAAATGACTAAGTGACCATCAAATAAATGTGCAGGAATGGAGATAGTAGCCGAGAGTTCTAGCTTTAATTTAAGCCAGGAAGGTTCTATCATCTTTTGTGTCTTTGCTAGATCTTCTAAAATATTGCAAAAAAACGCGATTTTTTACATTTTGTCCTCGTTTTTTATCAAAATCTGAAGCTCGTGGAAACTGACTTTATGCTGGCTTTGCACTAATCATCATAATATTGGCGTTTTAAACAACCATCTGATTTTCAGGGCAACTATCTCCCCTGACAAAGCTTCAAAGTATGATATTTTAAGAAACGAACACAAACTGTGTCATCCTCTGCCTTTAATTTAGAATCGAACACTGAGTCAACCTCGTTATCGTTGGTTTTTTCATAGCTAATACATCGATTGTAAGAAATGTGAATCAAGTGGAATATTTGAAAACAAATTCGTATGTCTGGCTGTAGCTGGTCGTGCAGAGAGGCCTTTTGTTATTTGTTGTCGCCCGAGCTCGAGTACGAAAGCCGTCAGCGGCAACACATAATTTTTGTTTTTTGTAAGTTTTTGGTTTTTATTAATTACGTAAAAGCATCTGTGAAGTGCGGAACCAAATCAAACGCCAAGCAAATGTATTCGAGTTGATCATTTGAAGACACAATTATAAAGCGGCTGTAGCTGAGTGTGCAGAGATGCTTGCTGTTACTGGGTAACTTTCAGAAGATGCGTTTTCAAATCCCGTCAGAGACAACGTGTTAAAATGATTATAAAAATGTTTGTTTTGTATCTAGATATCCTAGATATGAAAAAGCATCTGTGAAGTGCAGAACATAAGCGTATTGAAACGTAAAATCGGCAACAAAATGTTTGGTTAATGTAAATAAAAGTGTGGTTAATATTACCAAATCACTGTTGAATATAGCAACCAAGGCATTGTTAATATTAACCAAAAATCACGATGATTTCTTTTCAAGTTTGAATTTGGTAATATTAACCAATTTTTGTTTAATTTTTTTCTCAGTGAACACAAAAAGCGAAAGGCGCAATCAAAATGCGACCTTTTTTGGTAGAAACGAAATCACCATTGCCTGACCTTACCGCAAAAAAATTTGGCATTACCTGCAGTGTTACATGAAATATTATTATATCTGGCCCTTTAAGGAATTTAGATATTAGGATGTTGCTTTGATTTGGATCCTATTTAGTGGAAATATGACCAAAGAACGTGAATCTATAAGAAGAGACAACACGTTATAATTGTAATGAGTGGAAACATCAGGAGCATGCTTTCTCTTTTGGTAAAAAAATTTACTAATTCTTGGAATACTCTCTCTACTGTTGCTCATGCCGCGTTTCGCTCAGATTGGGCACATCCATCCCGGAGCTGAAAATTTTCGGCCGAAAAGTTATTGGAACAAACAAACAACACCTTTGTGAAGTTACCATGTACTTGGCCATCCCGAAATATGCAGCTAATCATACTAAATAATGGTGAAAATATTGCATAAACAAATAGATTCTCTATGTGCATTACACAATGTAATACGAGTATTTTACTTGCCTTCCGTTTTGTATATAATTTTCGAAATAAATCACTAAAAGCTCGCTATAAAATGATGCTCAAAATATATTTTTCCAAATAATTTTTTAAATATTGTTTTTAAGTAAAAACCCACTTTATAGTTTCTTCAAAGAATATGGTAGCTTCAATTTAAAGAAAATGACAAAAGCAGAGTTTACGTCAAATGGGAGCAATGGCGAATAAGAAGAAGAAGTGAAACTGCTTTTAAATATTTGTATCATGGATTTATTTATAGATTGTATATATAAGTACATAAAATACTTACGATTTGAGGAATTGGTTTTCCAAAAAACTGCTATAAATGCTGAAACTAATTCGCATACATTTTAATTCTAATGGTCAACGAATAACAATAGAGATAGAGACGAAATGGTCGACTAGTTTGTCAAAGCGGCAAATTTAATTTTCTCAGGGAGTTAAGGATGGCGATTAGAGCGAGAGGATCGCGAACGTATAACACCTTCCTTAATAAATGATGCAATAGCATCATAGAAAAACAACAATATAAACCATGCATTTAAATTTAAATGCACCGTCTACCGAAAAAACGATGTTAAACGTTGTTGGTCAGAAAAGTCTTAAACTACAAATTTGATAACGAAAGTTTTTTTTTCAATAAAGTGACCATTTATTGTTACATTTGACTTCTCATAACATTTCAACCGGTACATGGATGGATGGGAACTTTTGGTTCATATCTTGCTTAGAACCACAAAAGGATGGCTCATGTAATGATCGGGCCATTTTTTGCGTCATTTCCTGAGCTGATTGCAAATTGTAAAAATATAAATTTAGCAAAACAACAGCCTTATGATTTAAGGTACATATATATCAGCAAAATATGTAGTATTTCTGATTAGCAATTAGTGGGTATACAGGCTTTTAACATACAATCATGATTTTTTTTTGTAATAACTGTATACAAAAAGGCTTGGGCATATCACTCAATCCACTTCCAGTTTTCTAAAACTGCCTACTATTCCAACATCAACATCACTTAAACCGATATTTGAGGAAATATTAGGCTGTTTCGTTATATCAATGTACATGTCATCAAGGGATAAGATCGCCGATCGTTTTTCTAATAGTTTCAATTTAAACTGTTTAATAATATCAGAAACCGGAATGGTCCCACCATATTCCCGAGGAAGAATAGCTGGTTTTACTTTTTCTTTCAAGGCGTCAAGTGTCTTATGGATCTGCATTAAAAAAAGATAATATATTTTAGGAACTTCTGGTTTATTAATTAGTTTTCCAACTTACAACTATACGTTTTCTTAGTTTTTCGCTGAGCAATGATACTCCCAACTCGATAATACGGTTCGCAAAATGCGGTATGTTAATGAAATGTGTTTCTTTATGCCTCATGGGAGTGGAATTCTGGAAAGAGCAATTATTTCTCTTTGAAATTAAGTAAACGCAGTTCTGACTTACCTGTATACATTTAACCATACTTCTTAAATCCGCGAGGGACCAAAGACTTGCGAACCCCATTTTAATTCCACTTTCGTCGTTTATGTACACATAACCAGCTACTTGCGACTGCTCGTCGTCTAATAAGCTTTCGCAAATAAGTGAGTGAATACGAGCCATCTGAACAGAGTTATATTTGTATGGATCGAAGTTCCTCGCCACTGAAAGTATTATTTGTCTACCATTGTCATCCTTTTCAGGAAGCGGAATTAGATAACCATTATCAAAAATTTCACTGATCTCTGAGTCTGTAATATCTAGTTTTGAGAACCATTGCGGAAATAACTGACGTATAGTTAAATAACGTTCAAGCATTTCACATGCTTCAGGAACTGAGAATTTTTTGGTGCGTAAAAACCTTAGCAGAAACATGGAATCAGTTCGGCACTTCTTAATAGATGGGTGTTTAGATATCCATTCGCGAAACTGTTTTAATGCCTGCTGACGTATATTATCATCTTCATGCAGCTCTTCTTTGGCAAGTAGTTTCATTTCTGGACTTAGAGAACATTCATAAGAATCAAAATATTCGGTAGTCTCATAATCTGATGTGTTCAGTTGCTGCATTGTTTCGGTATCCTACACTTAAAGAAAGTAATAAGTAAAACAGTCAGTTTAGTAGCATTCATTATAAGGTGTATGTGATATTGATATAAATAATAATTTAAGCTACACGCCTTAAAAAGCAACTACTGAAAAGTGTTTATTGCCGAGACCCTAAATAGCTGTTATGATTTTTTTTGGTCGTTGGTCGTAGGACAATAAAAAATTTTTTAAGTTACTTTATGTTATTCTCAAAACTAAATTTTTTCGTTAATCATAACATTTATTTTCGATTTTTTTGTTTTTATTTTGCCTGCAGCTCGTTTCTGTAACTCCTTTCTATCGATTATTTCTCTACTGGTAGAGAGTATACGTCATTCTCTATTCATATATAAATTCGCCTTGGCAGAGAATTGTTACAGAAACGAGCTACTGGTTAGAATTATTCTCAATACAAACTTTTTTTCGTTGATCATAACTTTTATTTTCGAAGTTTTTCTTTTTACATTGCCTGGTAAGAGTTATTCTTAAGACAAATTTTTTTCCGTTGGTCATAACTTTTATTTTCAACTTTTTTCTTTTTACGTTTCCTGGTAAGAGTTATTTTCAATGAAAACTTTTTTTCGTTGCTAATAACTTTTATTTTCGACTCTTTTGTTGCCACGTTGCCTGGTAAGAGTTATTCTCAATGAAATTTTTTATTTCGTTGCTTGTAACTTTTATTTTGAAGTTGTTTGGTTGTGCGTTGTAGTAATGAAATATATATCAGGCATTCGTTTTCGTATCGGACATCAAATTTGGTGAGACAGTTTCGATTCGCTTGAAATTTTTTTATTGCAATCGCATAAAAATTGTCGACGCTAGGCAACTTTTCTTAAATACGGCCTAGAATTTATATGTGTGTATGAACCAGACTTTCACATTTTTTGAGCAGTATGGCTAAGGAATTCATAAATATTTATTCAAGATTGATATATACAACCGATATTTAGCAAAAAAGTGATTTTAAATAAATTTGTAAAAAAGGGGTGGCACATCCAACTTATTATATTATATGTGTACTATCTTAAAAACCACTAGACCCATCTCGACCGATTTTGGTATACACATTGTGCTTAGTCTCCTTAAGCACCGTCTTGAATACTTTTAAAATCGGACATCGTATTTTTTTCAACAACAACTACAAATACTAAAACAATTCGTCATTCCATTGTTATTTAATAGTAAAGTAAACAGAATCATTGGTCATCTAAGGTTGGCGACAGAGTAATTGCTAGAAGTGATGCTATGCTACAAATAAATATGATAATGACTAATAATAAGTTAAGTTTTGTAGCAACTACTCTGCAAGCATTATAAGCAATCCTTATATATGTAGTGTAATGCATGTTAAACAACAAAAAAAAAACGAAAAAATATCACGAGCTGTGGTGTAGTGGTAAGTAGTCCGCTCTTCCACTTCGCAGCCCCTGGATTCAAGCCTTGGTCAAAGCAATATCATAAAAAAAATTAGAAAAAAGTTTTTTCTTAGCAGCGGTCGGCAGGCAATGGCAAACCTCCATGTGTATTTATATCTTGAAAAACAGCTTCTCATAAAAATACAATCGCCGTTCGTAGTCGGCGTAAAACTGTAGGTCCCTCCCCTTTGTGTGACAACATCAAGCCGCACGCCACAAATTCTTTATTCATTCATTCATTATTTATTCAGAAGAGGTTACATTTAAGGTTGTACAGACTGGTAAAACCCGCGAAGCTAAGCAAGCTTGTCTGCGGGTACGAATTGTTAATATTGATTTAACTAATACTCTCTTCAGGATACTAATACTAATAGCAGTGCTATAACATTTAAAATGATATGTAAAAAAGATGCGATTACAATGCAGCTTATGGCTAAGAATATAAGAAGTGATATTTTATTAAATTTTTTCTGATTGTATTTTCCGGCAAATTTATGTATTGTGGTGGCAGTTCATTCAGCAGAGTTGGCGTTACGACGTTTAGTGTATTTTTGGTATAGTTATTTATGAAATTTGGGATTCTGAAGCGTCCTTCTTGTCGCCTACGAGTTTTGTACTCGTGGTCGATTTGGTTCCTAAAGCGCCCATTATCGAAAAACTCATCTAGCACTGCACACTTGAATATGGATTTAACATCGAGTATTTTTAGTTTTTTTTTGCAAGAAGAGCGTCGGTTGGGGTATTTAGTTTCTTCGCCAATATTTTAAGCACATAGTTTTGGCTCGTATATCCGGATGATGTTCCCCATGCTGTGATGCCGTGACGCAAGTAGGACTCCGTTAGCGAGTGATATGCCTGTCTTAGAACTCCATAATCTGAACAGTAGCTGAGATGTCTTAGCATAAATGTTGATCTCCTGATTTTCTTTTGTAACTCTGTAATATGCTCATTCCATTTTAAGTTTTAGTCTACTATGACTCCTAAGAATTTATACCTATCGACCACCTCAATATTTGAGGTGCACCCACAAGACACTAAAGTGTTTCTAGACAAGCGTAGCTGTGAAAAACTATATTTATGTCCGAGCGTGCTATGTGAGGTGGCCTTATGTGCATAATTTTTGTTTTCGATGCATTGATTGACAGTCCGTTATCATGTGACCATCTTGTTATTATATTAAGCTTTCGTTGTAGTATTTGTGCTGCTGTTTTTAAGTCCCTATGGGACACAACGACGGCGGTGTCATCCGCATATGCATAGACCTCACAGTTCTTCAAGTTCTTCAACAAACTGTTTGAGTATATTAAATATAAGAGTGGACCCAATTTCGAACCTTGAGGAACTCCGTGTGTGAAAGATTTTTCTTCGCTTTTTTCCTCATATATTTTCACCTGAAACATTCTTAGTTCGAGATAACTTTTAAACAATCCCAGGCAATCTCCCCTTTATTTCGGCATATTCCAATTTTTCCAACAGCCTTTTGTGCGACAGCGTGTCGAATGCTTTGCGAAAATCAATAAACAGAGCTAGGTTGTGTTGAATTTTGCTGAGGTGGTAGTTTAATGTGTTTGCGAAGTTTCCTATTCATATTTTGTCGTCTTTGAAATCCATATTGGTTGTGTTGTATCACGTCATATTTTTTTCTATAAATTGTCGTAATCTACTGCCTATCACCTCTTCCTTAATTTTTTCTAGTATAGGGACTAACGCTATTGGACGGTAATTTCCCGGGTCGGATTTAATGCCCGACTTATACATTGGCCGTATTATAGATATTTCAAGGCTTTCCGGTACGTAAGATTGTTGTAGAATAAGGTTTCTAAGTTTCGTGATCACAGGTGTTAGCACGTAAATGTTATTTTTTAAATCTTTTGGGCTTATTCCGTCGGATCCTGGACTTTTCTCTTCATTCAGACCCGCAATAATTGAGGCGATTTCATCTTCACTAGTTTCGGGAAAATAAATAGAGTTTGCAATCTTAACTTCTGCAGGTTCTATCGTTCTAATGTCACAGGTATGTATTGTACAATCACAAATGAGCTTCAAACTTCTTTTAAAGTTTTTCGTAACAGTTTCGTCTACACTACTACATTTCTTTCCAACTATTTCATTTATAATTTAACACGTTTTCTTCAAGTTTTTTTTTATTTTTGTAGAACAAATTTTGATTGTATCAGTTTCTCGTGTTTTCAAGTTTTCTGTTTACCTGATTTCGAAACTGCTTATATTGGGCCACCCTCTGCTTATCACTGGGATTTGCGCGCCACCTTCTATAAAGTTTGTCACGAGCTTCACATGCCGTCCTCAACTCATCGTTCATCCAGGCATTTGTTTTTCGCTGTCTTCTCTTTGTTGTTATTCTAAATGATTTTGTATATATGCCTCTAAATGTTGTTTGTATTTTTTCGCACATTTCGTTAGCATCATTTAACTTCATTATGCTACCCCGATTCGTGTTACGCACACCTTCACTTACTTTTAGGGTATTCAAGAATTTGTTGTTTATCTCTCTTGCTTGAGTTACCTCGCGATTAGTAGCGAGACTACATAACAGAGAGTAGTGATTT